GTCACCATGTATAACATAAGTTTATTATCAGTATTATTATCACCCTGTAAAAATAAGTATATATATTTGCGATTGTACAGCTTTGAAAATGAATTCGCCGAAAAGAGAACTCTTCGCTGAACTAATCTTTCTTTCTTATTTAATGAGCAATTCTGACGAGTTGGGAGCTTGACTTGAGTTCTGAAGGGACGACCGCTTGAGGTCGGACACACATGGCTTTATTCTGAGTAGTTTTAGATGAGTTAGCTCTGTACTTTCAAAGCCTTATTATTGATGACAGAAATTCATGGGGTGATGTACGCTGCTTTAGGATGGACGTTTTCTAACCAACTCCTTGTGTTGTCAGAAGGCAGCATCACTGCATATGCTGGTTATTTGAAACGCCCTAATCCAGTCACAGCCCTATGCAGTCAGCCGTATGACTTCGGACTCAGATTATGAGTGTACAGCTTTTAGTTTTTACTACTCTCTATCCTATCAATTTGGCTGATATGGTCGAACATGAGGTACTGAATTTTCGAGACGATTTAACTCGTTTGAGTAAAATCAAGTCATACAAAACGGAACATCACATCAAAGTAGCAGTAGGATTACTCAACCACAATCTTTCAAATAATGTGAAATAATACCATTAAATAACAGAAGCTTAAGACTCTACTCATAGTTTCACCATTCCGAAAATTCGTTTCGTAACAAAGGTGTCCACTTGTATCAATTCAAGAAGCGAGATATATAAACAATTGTAAAAATTGGTTTTTTATGTAAAATTAAAGTATAAAATACTTAGAAATCACAACGGATGTATTTGAAGATCGCTTTCACTATAAACTGATACTATGTGAAAGAATGAAAACCATGAAAAATCCAACATGTGTTTCGTCCCAGTTTAGCACTTCTCAATCCCGACCGTTGTTGCCACCTTGACGTGGTAGTTGGGTTTGCCTATCGGGATGAAGCAACCGAGCTATACTGCCTGGAACAACCGTTCCTCAAGGTCCTACCATGTCAGACAGGTCGGTTGAAGAGCGGCAAGACTAAAAACAACAAACCCAAGGTCCGAAGGCGAAGTCGTACTGGTGACTGTACAGAGGTGTGACAGCAGTAAGGTGTTTCCTTTAGACAACCAGCGTGACAGCGATGCTGCCATCTCACAAGGAGGGGTGGGGTTAGAAAAGGTCAACCCCAAAAATGCACACCTTGCCTTATCCTATAGATATCCGTCTCCGGCGGTAAGGCCTCAACAAGTGCGGAGCTAACACAAAAGTTACCCATAAAAAGGTAGTGTGTGACCGACCTCAAGCAGTTGTCCCTTGGGCACTGCGATCACGCTCTCAGGTCACTAAAACCACCTCTAATTCAATTTCCTCTTCAGGTACCTCCAGAAGAACCCTTCCACGGTGTGTGCAACCGGAAAGTGATAACCGCTCTCATACTTCTAACAGCACTCAAGACCACTGCATTTATAATTAACCTCCCTCTTCAATTTCTGTTATTCCTCCTACATTGACTTTCACCTCTAAACTTCCTCTTTCGGCTTCCCCCTCAAGTGTCACCAGAGCAATTCTCAATAGTACGCACCCACGAATTCAGAGCCTTTATAGTTTAATAACAATCGCATGTAATACAATATTATTTGCTAATTGATTAAATCTTCGCAAACTGGCTCAGATATTTACAGAAAAGTCAGTTGGCTATGAACTTTATCCTATTTGTACAATAAAATAAAGAAGTACAAGAGGATTTACATGAAATCACATCCCTTAGTCTGTTATCAATCTGAGATAGGGTCATACCATCCGTTAATTCCGAAAATAGTAGTGTTTCTCTCTCTTAATTCCAATATGCATTTATTACAAGAGTAAATAAAAATGAGGCAAAAAGGGGATCAAATAGTTTTCCATTTTTATAATACATAATTAAAACGATTGAAAATCTTAGAAAAGATTATACTGGATGAGTTGTTTGAATTACTTAAGAAAAAAAACAAAATATTTCTGGTGAATGACAATTGAGTTGCTCATTAATAACGGTGCTTATAGTACAGAAACAGTCTATGTGAATAGCAACTATTGTTCAGAAAAAAAATTAGGAAGTGAAATTCATGTTCATTCAAACAAACTATAATGACATATTTTAATTATATAGTAGGTTGTATCAAAATACTTTTAATTAGATTGAATGGAAGCTGCTAATATTTCTACAATGACAACTATGTACCTTTCAATTCAAGTTTAGCATATGGTAAAATTTCTCTTACTTGTTTGCTACACTAAAATGTCCATTTGGTAATTTTTGAAAAAAAACCCAGCAAACCCTTCTAGTATTAAAATACTAACATGGAAAATAAACAAAAATGACTTCATTGGTTAACCATAAAGCATGTCAATCATTTATTTTATTATTATTTATTTCATAGTTAAACTCATGAGTCAATTGAAGCTAGACCACCATGAGAAACCTGGAAGCATAAACATTAGTACAAAGGAGCACCAAAATATATATGCGACAAACAATAACAATGAGGTTGTGAAAATATAGAGAAACGAAGGTGAGTATAATAAAAAAAGAGCGAAAAAGGATGGAAATCAGTGTATGAGAGTGATATGACAATAATAATGGGAGAAGCAGTTCAATTAGCAAAAATGCAATCGGAAAGAATTTTTTCAAATGAAAAGAGCTCGTTTGTGTAGGTAGTTGAAAGTCATTTTCCTACAGAACACTTCACACTGTCTACCGGATAATGCTTATATGTTATAAGTAGGTTAACAGGTGAAGTGGGTTGGACATTCTTTAAATATTCAGAGGATAAAAAAACAATCAATTCACGTGAAATATATCAATGTTAGGTTAGTGTATGTTTGTGCATTTTAGCTAATGAAATGGTAAGAGTATAACTGATGTTGTGACTCGTTGATTTGACATAATACCAAACATGGTGAAAGCAATTCTGTGAGACTATATGGTTATTACTTAGTTACAGCTAGTCAGTCAGTAACAACGTAGAACTTCCGTACGTACGTACATCAGTTCGAGTTGCCACACCACATTAGCACACAGATGTAGTGGTCGATTCAAATCCCGTAGTGGTAGAGGTAATAAAAGTATCAGCAGTAATCAGGAAAATTAGTGTTTGGAGATGTTATTTAAAGAGTCTAATACAGTGAAATAAATTTGGGAAGAGAAAAAAACAAGGAGGAATAAGGAGATCAAAATTTGGGAGAACACAAAGAGTGGATGCACCTGCGCCATTGCAAACGATTTTGAGCCATGTCATTCAGGGTCTCTAACCATCGGTTGCTACCATCTCGCGGTCCCCAACCAGGTAGTCTACACCTACCAACATGACTCAGACCACTTGTCAGTGACTTCATGGACTTGTGCCATGTTTTGTTCTGGCCGCCCCTAGCTTTCTTCCAACCTACTCCACTCATATACCAGTGAACATCGCACGTCGAGGCAGTCGGTCGTTGGGCATACGTAACACGTGTCCCAGCCATCTCAACTGATCAAGTTTCACTACGTCATCAATTGATTTGCCATCCTTACCTAGTACCTGTTTCCTAACAACTGTGTTACTTACTCGATGGTCCCATGATATACGAGCAATGTTTCGAAGGCACCTATGATCAAATACTAGTAGCCTACGGATATCCTCTACTCTTACCGGCCATGTTTCACTGCCATAAAGTAGGACGGAACGAACTGCTGCGCAGTAAACCCGTCCTTTGGTTGATAGACGGATATCTCGCCTACGCCATAAATGACGCAAGTTGGTAAAACCTAGTCGAGCCTTCTGTATCCGTGCTGAGATTTCGTCACACACCAGACCACAAGGGCTGATGAGACTTCCAAGATAAGTGAAGCGATCGACACGCTCAATTACTTCACTCCCTATCATTAGTTCGGGTGTCAATGCAACCCAATCCTGAAGCAACATTTTGCATTTCGAGGGGGAGAATCGCATCCCGAACATGCTTGCATTGTTGCTTAGAGTGGTCAGAAGACCCTGCATTTTGTCAGCGTCTTCGCCAAATAAAACTATGTCATCAGCATATTCTAAGTCAACAAGTGAACCTCCCGGTAGAAGTTCAACCCCTGAAATTTAGATGAGGAAAGTGTTATCTCTAAAAGTACGTCGACGACAAAGTTGAACAAGAATGGGAGAGTGGACAGCCCTGACGAACACCACTTGAGGTAATCAATTCTGATGACAGTTCGCCATAAGCTCTCACTCGACCAGTTTTGTTCGAGTAGAGAGCCTTTATAAGGTTAATGTACTTATTTGGTACTCTTTTCAGTGACAAACACTTCCATAGAACCTTACGATCAACAGGGTCAAATGCCGCCTTAAGGTCGAGAAATACTACCATTGTGGGGCGTCTGAACGTGTGTCTGTGTTCTAGAACCTGACGTAGTGTGAATATGTGGCCAATACAACCACGTCCAGGTCGAAAACCAGCCTGATTTTCTCTAGTCTGCTCTTCACGAGCTTTAGTTAGGCGTCGAAGTATTATTGAAGCTAATATTTTAGACACTATATTTGTCTCACTGCTAATACTGAACCAACATCCTTAAAAATCTCAGGAGTAAACCTGTCAGGGCCTGCTGCTCTCCCTCGTTTCAGATTTCCTATGGCTTTTTCAACTTCGTAAAGAGATGGAGGACCTAAATTAACTTGCCATTCAGATACGACTTCGCCTCAGACCTTGAGTTGCTGCTTTTAGTCTTACCGTTCTTCAATCGACCTGCCTGGTATGGTAGAACCTACAAGAACATATGTTCCAGCCAATATAGCTCGGTTGGGTCATCACGATAGGCAAGCCCGACCACCGCGTCAAGATAGCAGCTACGGTCGGGTACTTAGTTACAATAGATTGTGAATGCTTGTTATGTTTTGTAAATTTTGTAAAGTACGTTTTGGAGTGTCTATTTTTTCGATATGCCGATGATTTTCCATTTTATTAAAATAAAAAAAAGAAACAGGGAATAACAACACTCACCGGAAAATTCCTTCCGTCCGTGCTCCATTTAACCGTAGAATTTCTTCAGTGAGAAATATCTGTATCCATGGTAAACGTAAATGAGGAAATCTATATGCCTGTATTTGCATCATTTCATCCAAGGAACTACCAAATATACATGGTTTTAACAAAAAATCCTTAGAGATGATAACCAAAAAACAAAAAGTAATTGGTGAAACAGTGATAAAGAAGTGTACGTAAAAGTGTATATACAACTGACTGATCACTGAGTAGTGACCAGTATATATTATATTGATCACGATGTAATTTGGCAACAAGTCTTAGTAACTCTATATCGTATGCATAATGTTGAGAATGTAAGGTGGTTGTAAGTGATCGACAAAAAACTCCGGACAGGGTGGTTATGAAAATTTCAATAATACGAGAGGTCAGTCGTGGCCCATATAGATTAATGGTAACATTTCAGACCGTAAGGCTGAGTGAAATGGGTTCGAATCGCAGAAAGCAAGTCATTTTTACCAATATTTCAGATACATAATGCTGACGAGCACTAGATAGGGTGAAGCTTCATTCCAGGGTATCATGTTAACTACCTTCAATCACCTAACAAACACGTACATTTACTCCATATAAAATTTTCTAATCTAAATAAAAAAAGGAAAAAGGAAGTTTATGAAATAACTGAGATTTTTCTAAGAAAATAGACCTTAGGTTGTAGTGTTGGTTACTATGTTAAGCCCATATAACTTATTCTAGGTTCTGGACAGGCCAATCTATCCATTCCTCTTGAGTCATATTTTGACCTTGGTAATCATTCACTTATCAACCTTGACTGTTCTTATATGGGCGTATATGTGTGTCCTTCTTATCCCATACATCACATGTCTGTAACTTGTTTATATATGACTATAAATACTGATTAACACTTGATTAAACTGAGTGAGCTCACACGCCATCTCCACTGCACGTCATTTTGCTTCACTCTCTTCTCGTCTCTTCATTCTTCTGATTGTCTATTCACATGAATGAGTGTATAAAGTATATACATTCAAAAATCCATGCTCGTACTTGGCTTTTTTAATTCCGTTATTCACTAACACAATTTAAGTCGATAATAATATACTAGAACAGTCAGTATGTATATTTAGACACCAATCATCCATACGATCTAATCGGAATCAGATATAGGGCCACTAAAAGGTGAATCCACCGATATGATCAACATCAACAGTTTATGACAAAATGTCAGTTGTTTTTAACTATTGTACTAATTCAAGTGGCAGGCTAGTGTATCTTGCAAATCGACGCATATATTAATAATGAAAGTAAGGGGAACTCCACAGGAAATTGTTTACTACTAATTCAACTATTAACATTTGATCTTCGTATCACAAAATGTGCATCAACAAAACGTTTTTCTTTGTCTGGGCTGATTTCTAAATGATCGAAACACCAAATCATTACAAACGTTGTGTAAGGAGGCTGACAATCAAACCTATTTATTATTAACATCACAAACAAGAAGTGAAACATAATCTAGGTAGACGATGTTTAACTACAGAAATTTTCAGGATACAAATAAATGAATAAATATAATTGTAAAATAAAGGTTAACAATAAACACTGTAATAAACACGATGATTTGTATCATGTTGATATTTTTTAAAATAGATAGTCAGTACACTGTATTATGTTGTTTACTAAAAATAAACGGAAAATAAGGACATAGAATTTAAAAATTTCGCGAAAGTGAAAGCCACAATTGACTTGGATGTGGTGACGGTGACTAACACAACATCAGTTAGTTTTAACCACACTATAAGCATACGGGCTAGGGATACTACCGGAGTTGATGAAAACCACAGTAGAGTAAATGACTTAATTTTAACAATTGATATTTCGTTTATGATCAAATTGTGATGCAGAGCCTCTAGTTTTGAGGTAGTATATATTATGCATGATTGTCATACATGAATTAATTAACGGCCTATAAATAAACTATGGGTATATCAGAATAGTTTTTCTAAACTCAATTCTTTGTATGATTAAATTACAAATGTACAAGTAGTAGTAAAAACGATCGGAATAATTTCTCACAGAGAAAAGCCACTTTTTAAGCCTGAGTAATATATGTATGTATGACTTCCCCACTACTAATAAACACAAATTCATCATCTCCATTCTGTATTAAGTTCCGGGATGTTTATACAGTAACAGACGGTTAATGTTTCATACATGATGATGTTGCTTACATAACTGTAACAGAACATATATTGCATATAGAACTAAAATTAACCTTTGAATAATAATTATTTTTTAAAATAAAAAATCCACAGATTCGTGCATGATGGTAACACTAGTGAAAAAGTACCTTTTATAGTAGAAAAAATTTCAAATGCGGAATAAAAAAGCATTGTAGAAAAATAAATTGTACCAAACATTTGAAAAAGTTAATCATATACCTTAACATGGCATATTTCTTCAATCGATGGACTAACCGATGTTTTACGTACACCAACATTTAATGAACGAACAAACCATCTAGGTGCAACACGTGCAAAATGAGCTGCAGTTGGACGGTCCCATGGACCTAATGCGATTCCCATTGTATAATTATGATTAGAATGTGAAGTGAAGTGTTTTGAATTAATTAACAAATCATTTGACTGTTGGTATTTATCCATAAGATTATTATTACTGTTATTAGCACTGAATGGATTCAAACCAGAAGCGATTGCTGTGGCTGTCTTAAGACTGGATTCAGTTGATACAGTATGGTTATTGAATTCAACAATAGCATTTTGATTAAAATTAGTCGGTGTTGTAGTAAGGGCAGTTGTGCTGAATGTATTACTGTTCCAAATGACCGATGCATCCGCTCTACTTTGAAGATAAGCATATAAATGATCACGAAATTTACTATTTGGTGGGAAGTAATAAAGACAGACACATAAAAGAGCCCAGCCGTTTGTAAGACTTTTCCTAAAGAAAATATAATACAATGAATATGTAGAATTAAAATGTAAACAGTGTTGATAGTTTTTTTTGAAAAACAAAACAATAGGCAACATAACAGACTGACCTTAAATGCAAACAAAGAATTATTGTCGATAGTTTACAGAAAAAACATTTATCATTGCAAATTACTGTGCAATTCGTAACTAGTCAAAACAAAAAAAATAGGCAAAAGGGTGTTCACCTAGAATGAGTAAAATGTCTAAAGTATACACTATATAACTCTAACAACATAGTAGTAGACAGGATGAAATATAGGTGTGGAATAGGGTGAGAAGGGTATGCATCGATAAAAAGAAATAAAACAAAAGACGAGTTATATTGGCAGCTGTTGTGATGTTAGAAATTAAAGTTGAATAAAAACATTTATAGAACTGATTTCTCTGAAACAATTTTAACGAATTACTGGTTAATCTAGGATTTTATTTGTTATCGGAAAGTGATTACGTTGTTGAAGAGTTGGATTTATGAAAAACTCTATTTGATGCTGTAGTAGGCAATTTGTTAACTGAAACTGATAGCGTGAAACGGGCACTTTATTGAAAAAAATAAAAACAGTGAGAATGTACGGAATATGTGGTGACTACAATTCTCTGGTCAGTCGGTCATAATCAATGTAGCGCGCCTGGCACAAATGTGTATTGTTATACCAAATAACTATGAACAGATAAAATTAACAAAATGAATAGCGAAGGGATCGGATTTATTTAGCAGCAATTATGTGAAAAACCAAAAGTTGGGAATATGGTTAGCAAGACAGAAAGAAGCTGTGTATGAAAAAATGGTGAAACTCGAGCAAGATTCAAAGGAAGATACAGTGAATGAACCTATACTATTGTCATTGATCTTGAGATATGTCACACAATATCAGTAAAACCAATCCAGGATTAATGTATTTACGATAAATCCCAAATATTTGCCCTTCTGACAAAGCCTATAAAATTCATACTGACAATTAAATGACAGTCCATTAGTGAAATTATATGGATGTTAAATTTATAGCCGCTGTTATAATTAAGTCTACTGATAAAGCTGCTCAGTATACTGTTACTTTATGCTCTTACTTTATTACAGACATGTTAAAATTCCTTTCGTTATATATGGTTAATTACAATATTTACCCAAATTATATATATATATATATATATAAACAACTGTATAATGTACTTAAAGAATCACATGTCTCGTAAACATTGAATTTTGTTACGTACTGTATCGACATTTATCAAATAGGCCAAACCAAATATAAACATAATTTGAATATACAAAGCTTAATGCAAAAAACTACATGAATTCTATTACATAAGAGACTATTTTTTATGGGAAAAGTATAAACAACTGTTCTATACAGATGTCATTATCGTTTGTCGTAAATCAAGAGAGCATATACTCATAGTGCACAACAATAATAGATAAACAAAGATAATGATAATAAAAATATATATAATTCTTGTGCAAAATTATATAAACAAAATTATTTTAGTGGATAGTCAAGTGGCTTAGATGATCAAATATGCGAATTACTACTGGTATTACTGATTAAAATATATAATACTTGTTTGATACATTTAAGATATCTTAGTTTATCGTGATTTGAAGCTAATGTGAAAATACGGTTTATGTTTCAATTAAAATGACCTTATTACATGTAAAGAAATGAGATATTTGTTGAAACAAACAAAATTATTTTATAATACATGGATGTATAAATTGTTTGATAACGAATTGTTAGGAAAATATAACGATGATAATCAAAATTGATTGAATTAAAAAAGTTTTTCGTGTGTAAGGTTAGTGAACTAACACTGAACTCTAACCGAATTGTCTGTAAAACTAAGCACATCTCTACCTTATTAAATTGGTCGTTAGACGTTTGATGTTTGTTAACCAATCGTCAAGGTCAAGGATGACTAATGCAGACTAATAATTCAAGAACAACAGTGTGATTTGTATGTAGGATTACGTAAGTTAAGACTAAGGCTATCAACTGAATAATGTAAATGAAATTTGTAATATAGACTTCTGAAAATATTGTTTGATATTACACTCCAATATCTTTATATTTTTCAACGGGAGTAGTGTAATGAATCATGGAGAAGATTCACTGAAATATCATAATAACAGTAGGTGATAATTTAAAAGAGAAATTATGCTTTTCTTAAAAGAAGACATTTATACTAAGTAGTTCAGTGTTTTTGTGTCTGTAATAGTCAACCTATTTTAGAAGTAACTGAATACGTTTAAGTGTTGAACAGGGTACACAGAAAACAGATCAGACAGTTTTACGATTTATTACTATGTAATTTTACGAAATAAAATGAGAAATATAAGCGAAAAGATTATGGATAAGCAGATAAGATTGTGAACATAGATCGTTATCATAACACAAAGTCACAGTAGATTCATTGCTGCTACAGTGATTGATACATTTGATTTTTAAAATATCATTAACTTACACATCCGGATTACTTGTCGTTTGTTTGCACAATTGAGCATATAATTCGTCGCGTAAATTGGCCGAACTTAAGGCACGATGAATAATAATTGAACCATAATCTGGCAGACTAAGACGTGCTTTTCTATCACCCATAAATGATTGAATCACTGTAATGCAATGGAATACAAACATCATTCTAGCTGAAATGTTACACTACTAACAATTGTCATTCAGTTAAAATTAAATTATTTGAGTAATACATGAAACTATATTTTGAGTAAATTATTGAATTTTATATACGAAATTCTATAATGTGTAATCGTTTATTTCATTTCAAGCGTTCAAAAGTATAGTTTTATGCAAGAATCAAATAAAACTTGCAGATAGAAAATTTCATGAAGTACTGAACATTCACTAAGTGTTATAAAAATACTAGACAAATTGCTAGGAAGTGTTGGACACAATTCAGTCAATTATCTTGTTTCCGATTTTATTTCTAAATAATTCATAGAAGCGAAGAGCTAGAAATATGTTCACAACATATTTACATGCATTTAGAGATATTTGATAAGTCAATAAATACTTTATTACTAAGCGTTCCGCTATGGTAAACTATCAAATATGTTCCCAGTGATAAGGCATTTTATGCCTGAAGATAAAGGTTCCATCGAATTTATCGAAAATCAAACACAAATTGCGACAATTCATGAACACAATGATAATGGGTGAGCTGTGTTTACAGTGTACTATCATATGCCTAATAAAATATGTACACAAACATTGTATAGGTCTCATTATATCCGACGAAGACTAAAGGAATGGTAACTGCTAGGATTAATTTATAGACTATTATTAAATATATTTTACTGTATAGTTATTAGGTAACTAGATTATCATATATATTTCTTTTATCGTGGGCTTTAGATTAACCTACTACTGTTGTATGATTTAGTATTCCTAATCTGTTGACAGTTCATTGTTTACAGTCTACCCTACTCGCAGACATATTTTGGCGTAATCATGTATAATTGTTATTTTTTCATTTTATAGTGTGATGTGATCGGGTATATTTGCGTATAAACTACATATACTTGAAACATAACATTCGCACGGTGGAGGCTGATTCCTGTGTTGTGAACTCAACCGGCAGGGCAGGGAGAAAAGCTATTGAGTTGAGAACCAATAAGAGCTTAGCGTTGATGCAAAGTTATTAATAGTGAAACGGATTCCGATTGGTAATTTTGTCACGCGATATTATTGGGCGGCCATAGATCATAAGAAATATTTGAAACGTCCACATTACCTAATAACATATTTATAAGACACAAGAGAACAATTGCCCTACTGCGGGATGGAATAGCATCAAACTATCTGCAAGAGTAGCCAATAAATACTTCTGAACTAAACAGTCAGTTGTCAGAGATATATAACGTGGCAATCATATGCATCGAGGTAAGTCGCCACATCACATTATCATACTGGGATGAAGTAACCGAGTGTTCATCGATTTTCATAATGTTGGATTTATTTGAATGATCAGCTGGAAAATGTGAACGTAAAAACAAAACATTTCACCACGACCCAAATTCATTTTTATATGTAGGTATGATTTTATGACCTGCTACTGAAAGCAATAAATTATAAAAACGTCAATTCAAAACTAACTTTTCTGTATCATAATACATGAATTATTTGACTTTATAAAAACTTCATACAAAAACAAACTTCATTATTATAACCAAAATATGATTTGTTGGGCATATTTTAAAAACACTATGTGTACCGATGATAGAATAAATTACCGTTTCGTCTGAGTGATCTATCAATTATTCACAATACTAGACTTGTTATATCCATCAACAAATGATTTATGTTTGGAAGTGCATACTTTTAAATCAACAAGCTTAATTTCACGTAATATAAGAATAATACATATATATAGGGATTTCTAATACTTCAAAATTACATAATATGTTTTACTATGTACTTTTGATTGTTATCAAAGCGCAGCATCGAAAAGTAATTGATTATTTCTCATGAGAGATCTAATGGATATTTATGAGTAGAGACATGATTTTATGAATAAAAATGTTGCGAAATACATTCACATTTTTAGTTTCTCCCCTACCAAAAAAATGTAGCACTACACATATTTTTAAAATGATGAGGAGAATATGCGGCTCATATGGATGCTCTGAGCCAAAAGATGATTAGATTACGCAACTTTCATTGATGCTCTAAACAATATTTACATGTAGTAGGCGTTGAAGATGTTATCCAAAATGACAATAACCACGCCGCAATTCAACTATCTAGCTCAGGGAACATAACATTGACAATGGTAAAATATTAATATAAAGATGGAGAACTACACTGGAGCTGAGTAAAATTGAGAAGAAAAACTGAATAATGGATTCCACTCGAAGTATATATTTTCAAAACACTTTTCATACATAAAACTATCGTTAGGTAACTCAATAAAACAATATGAATCTTATGAAGCGTTAAAAGTATGCACCTTTCTACTAGTAACACCGTACAATATCAAGTCTACATTTGGAATCCTTGAGTCAAATGATTCTATATAGAGAACCACATAGTAAAGGAAGGCAATAATAATGGTGATATGGTTTGAATTTCTCATTTGCAGCAGTGAGCGTAATACTATAGTGTAGTACTTCCGCAATAGAGCAGTTTAATTCGTCGACGAAATTAGTCTGTAGTGTATATAGTTAAAGACTTCATGTTAAGGCGTTTTGTGATTACTGAGCTGTAGACTCTAACAAGCATATAAGATTTTTATATGCTCCTGTAATCAAAGATCAAACATCAAATATAATAATTAATCACCGACAACTAAACAAAAGTTTGTAATATTCAATATGAAAAAGTAAGAGAGTTTATTCAGATGAATACTAATCATTTGTTCTTCGTATGAAAAAAATCTATCTGGGTAAAGTTAATCCAAGATCCACAAAGAAAGCCAAATGTTCAACATCTCTAACTTTGCAGATTTGAAAACTGTCCAGCGTTTTTCTAAAATATTAATCTCCTTGCAAATGTGTATAAGTTATTTGATACAAGAAGCGATATGTCTCTTACTTGAACGCTTGACACTGATAACTACTTCTTATTGTGTAGGAAATTTCATACACTTCAAGTAGAGGACAAAAATCGAAAAGGATGAAGAGAAGTTTTACTTTCAAGGTTAGTTTAGGCACAGAAAAAAGGATACTGATAGGTTTGTGACTGACTATGATGTTATGTAAGCTGCTCAAAATTTTCTAAATCGGTAATTATTTAATCAGGATATGACACACAATCCACCGCTTTACCATAACTCCCTAGGAAGTTTTTATTGACTGTTAATTGGCAGGTGTTTTTAACATTCTTTCAGGATTCCGAAGAATTTGCAGATACAGTTCCTAATACGAACGAACCTATGTTAAACAATATTGTGCTTTAAATCGCAGACATTAATTAGAATCGCTAATTTACTGGTATCCAATTCAGGTTTTTTTTTCTAAACAATCGGTAAGATCCTTCTTTCATTTTACTAGTCTGAAGACAATTATCAGCATAACGTTGAAATTTAAGCTTAATATCTAAATTATGACACACTTTTGACAATCACTTAAATTGTAATAGAAATAAACATCGGCGATCTAAAACACAACAAATGTTTCATATTTTATTCTAATCACTACTTACGTTTCGTGTGACATTTAATGCTAGACATAATTGTCAACTAACGTTTTAGCGATGAAAGTTAGATTTCGCACAGACTCATCATAGAAACATTACTTATTATAGCGACTTCCTTGTGGGATTAAGTAATTATATTCCAACTCAGTAGTCGAGAAGTGACACACTTGCCGCGAGGTCATAAGTTCTTCGGTTTGGTCCCTAAAGAAGGCAGCGGGTGCGCATTGATAGAGTCGAACACTAGGATGACCTAACTATTCGGTGTTGTCTTGTTGTCAATGTGTGTCAAGGCAAAATTACTCTGCAGTGTGAACAATCTTCAAAGTCAATAACAGTTTTCGTAGTCACAACTTCCGTATCATCTTAGACCAGTATTTATGAAAGTTACAATACGATGAAATCAGGAGTAGATAGATTGCTTTCTGGACCTGATCATTGAAATCAGCATGGATAAAACACATATACATGATATATTGATGTCCAACTTATTTATCAACAAACTCAAGATTTATAATCTTTAACAATTAATCGTTTCAATTCCGTTTGTACAGAGGAAATTTTGAATTAGTAGACAAAAAACATAGAAAGAAATATTACACAAACTGTTGATCAAAAATTAACCGATCATAACGTAACAGTTAAAACCACATCATCAGATGTACAATTGTCTGATGAAAAATACTACAGTTAATGACTACAAGTAGAATTATGATAATTCCAAGTTCTTAAAAGAAAAACAAAGTTTAGAACGTGATATAAGACTGTATTTTATTTACTTTGGTAAAAAAACTACACTAATTAAACATTGAAAAAACAACCAAATAATGAGCAATATGAAAGACGTAGTGACGTTATTAAACTGATTAGATAAACAAAGAATAAACACTATGAAACAATTCAAACTAATTGTAGCTCAAGATGAAGATTTTAAAGCTGTTTTGTCCTTTCAGTGAAATAGTTTAAATGTGAAGCTTTCATCACTGTCTTTCTCAATAACATTATCATCGCACACATATAAACGTCCAAAATAGAAGAGAGCAGATATCATAAAACCATGAACAATATACAAGAGTATACAAAAAGACGAATTATTGTTTGTTTTTCATAATGCTATATTTAATGCATCGATTAAATTGCATAATAGTCAAAGTAACAACTTTCTTTCTAAATTAAAGTGGATTTTTAAAAGTAGAAAAAACGCTTTATCGAACTGTTCATATGAAATGCCCTGGTACGGCCGAGAGTGGGGAGAATCAGCTTCCTGTAGAAATGCTCTCACATGGTGACGTCCATACAACCACTGCCAGGGAAGTCCTACTCACTGCCTTCTCGAAGCATTACTTTTATTTACGAAATTGAGAGGATGAAAAGCGAATGTCCGGGGCTTTAACCGGGTTGGTGGACATCGAGAGTCCACCTAGGGGAGTCGGAGAACCCTGATTCCAAACCAATGGTGCACATGGGCTCCAGTATCCTGAGTGAACAAATGGCGCATGAACCAATCGTTGATCACCGGCTACCATGGGACTGCATCTCCTTACAATGCTCCACTGACTTGTGGATCAAACCTTTAGGGCGAAGGCTCCGGGCGTGGCCCCCTAAGAAAACTACCTAATTCGGTTTGGACACCCGGCTAGTATCACAGCCCTCACACATATCAAATGAGATTTGTGTGGCACATATGTATTTGGTGCCTCCTTGTACCGATATCTATGTGTTCAAATAATAATAGTAATAATAAATAATAAATACACTTGAATGATGATGAAACAATTATATTTTTTAAATACGCCGCTCTTTGGGGATGAGAAATTTACCATGAATTGGGTGTTTTACTAGTAACCATATATTGTAATGTTTTGAATGATGTGAATTAGAAACTTAAAGTGAAGACTGCGGTTTAATTGCCCAGTCTATTACAATTTAGTCGACTTGTGTCACAGGATTTTGTCAACAGCAATCAGACCTCTAAAACACAAAGTGAACACATCGAGCACGGTTCGCTGAAAGGTCGTGAGCGACCAGTCCCATACAGTTAACCTTTGGGCTCTGGAGTCAATAGCAAGATCCGAAAATGGTTCAGTGTTAATGAAGTTAGTATACTAAGTATAAAACGATAACCCATTGCATGAATTTGCATGAGGTTACTAAAATAAATTGGTAAACACGAATATGAACAAATTTTAAAACTTTATGCGTATTCACATACTGTTATAAGGTTTTTTACGTAAAAAATGTAAAGAGACCAAAACAGAAGCCTAGATAAGGTTACTGATGATTCACAAAGACGAAATAGTGAAGAATCGAAGAGATACTACTTCAGAAAATTAAGAAACATTACCATCAGTTTCCTTTGATTGATATGTGCATAAACCTGATAATTTACACAGGAAACTCAACTATGGGATGTGCCTATATATAAAGGAACTTGAACAAAGGGCCTGAATGAAGAATAATTCATAGGAAACGGGTACTTGTTAAGTACTAAATACACTTCAAATAAATAATTAAAAAGAAAATGTAAGTAGTTTAACACTTACACTGATATTTTCTTGTGGATAGTACACAGAAAGTGTTAGAATAGAATCAGTTTACAAAAAATTAGATAAAATCTTAAAGTATCATTTTGAACTATTCATGTGATAGATGAAAATCTCTTCAGAAATGTTACTAATAATTACAGTACAAAGTAGTAAAATGAGTGGAGATTACTTGGCCAATTTATTGCATTACCCTATATAATAAGCCTTATTGTTAATAAGATTATGCGATTATCATTTTGTAACAAACATTATTTGTTGTATCGATAAATCTATTTACTTACTAATATAGCTTCTAGTGTAAAAAAACGAATAACTTAGTGTTATGTAATTGTTTTAACTATATTAACTGTACACGTACAAACAACTGCTGTTACAACGCCACCATACATGAATATAGAAAAAAGGGTTACCTTTAAACAACTGAGCAACTTGTTTCTTTAGTGCAGGTTCCGAAGATACCAATATACGTTTTGAAAAATTAGACTAAAATGAACAAAAATCAATAGTACGGTATAGTTCATAAATGAATTCAGCAAGTATTGTAAATTGAGAAATGAATATTATACTAAATATATTATAATCAATAAAATGAATATTCTCATTATTAAGTAAAGAACTCATATGAAATTATGAATGCCATTTTAAATACGTACTTAATTTGGAAAATCCTGAAAAACTACAAAACTATAAATGGAAAAAAAGCTTATCTTTTTGGTGTTTTCATAATCCGGTGATATGAACAGAGAAACAAAGAAGCCACAACGAACAACGGGAGCTATTTTTAAGAACATTATTTCACTTAATTCGAGGTCTATAAAATACTGACATTTAGTTTTACCCCTAGTTTATTCTATAAGCCATACACTTTCGTTTGATGCATGATTCACTGCCATACCAATTTCTGTTCCACAGCTATTGTAATTTAAACGTAACCTCTTTTACTCTATTCTTCCACCCTAATGTCTAGTTTGGACATAACTGACTCGGCATCCAAAGGTGTTAAATGAGATGATTTTAGTAACTAAAGAATATAACTGTTTCAAATAAGTGATTGGATTAATCTAATTTCTATTAACATTACACAGTTCAAGGAAACATGGGACTACCCATTAAAGTCTTAGTATACAAATAAAAGAAAATTATTTAATGCTATAGTAAGACCCGTTCTTTTATGTATTCGGGTCCTTATAATGAATGAAATAGTAGTAATAGTAAAGTGCGCTATATCAAAATAATTTTGAATGCCGATGCGACTAATTAACTACGGTAGAACCATTTCGTGAATACAGATACATGTAAATATGTTTACACTGGTTTAGATGTAATATTTCGCTGCAGGACACTTTTTTAATTGCTTTTGGTAATGATGGACAGGAATATACAGAGAGGAAGGGAGAGAAATTAGTCAAGAATATAGTAAAATGTGGGAATGAGTACTGTTCGTTGCACTTTTAGAAATGTTAGTTGAGTTACTTTTTCGTAATGAAGTCTACTTATTTAAAGAAGCGGTGGCTTGATGGTTGAGGCGTTTGACTTTCAGCCACCGAGGCCCAGGTTCGAGGCTCTCTCCACTTACTTTGGCTGCCGCGAACGAGTAGTATCACTAGCCCTCATAGTGAACTGTCAAGTGTGTGCAGATAGCTGATATAAAGAACGTCATACCGCTAGAAAATATAAACGCCATATTACATTAGATGTTTACTGTCTTATTCTATGAAATCAGACATAATGCAGTTTTTGATAACTATGTATAGTATGATGTCAAAGAAACCTAACATTAAACTGGAAACTACAAATAAATAGGTCAGATTACCTTCGTCCAACTCATTAATGTAAATATATCCTGGTCAGCTTAAATAAATGACTCGGCCAGTCAAATGGTCCGATGAATGAAGAAAATGCTGGATGACCTGGATGAACATAAATTTGTTGTGCACTTTTACGAAGTGGTGTAGGACGTGACCGATTATTACTATTGTTATTGTTATAAGAACCACAAGTCCACACCGACGACGAATCTGTGCTTTCAGCAGGGCCAATAAAACCACCAGAAGCAGAACGTGGAAAATTATTCATCAGATTAGCTGTTGAATATCCTTTCGTAGTTGTTGATACAACCGTAGCCGTCACTGAGGTTTTACTCACATTGGAATCAACTATTTGAATTGACTCACTAGTATTAGGGTTAAACCAGTTACTACCATCCCACATGGCGATATTCTTAGTACCCACACACTAGCACCACCACTTGTACTACAAACTACAGCGTTGGGTAAAACTGTACTTTTAAGTTGTATATTTGGTTGACTTGTCATAACGAATCTGGACTGTTGGGAGTTAAACGAATCTGTTGGTGGGATAAAACATATAGGATCGACAACATTGTTTTCACTGAATTGCATTTCTTTACTGTTTGGAAGAGCTGTGTATATAATCATGACAATGAACATTAAAAATTAATAGGAAACATTGGATACAAGAAAGGTGATGAAAAGTAAATATACAATAAATTAAATTATAAATCTTCTTAAGTCTACATTTCAGCTTAAAAAAGATGGATTCAGATCTCTAGATAGGAAAATAAAAATCTTGAGAAAAGTAGACATTAACACAGCTTAAAAGATGCTAGATTGTCTGAGTAAAGTAGTTTAAATACGAAGTTTGTTGTTTTCACTACTGTTACTGAAATGCTTGATTCGTTTGAAAAGAGAAGTTTCCTTTAATGACTTGTTCCCACTAAAATGCATTGCTTTACAAACTCTATAAGAGTTTCCTCAAGTTTTATTAACAACATTGGGAGATCAAATTTTATAAGAAATTCATGTGAGGCGGTCGTTAAAGCTTTAAGTTAGCCAGTCAGTAACAACGTAGAACTTCGTACGTACGTACATCAGTTTGAGTTACCACACCACATTAGCACAGGGATGCACTTGTCGATTCAAATCCCGTAGTGGTAGAGGTGGTAAGAGTATAAACAGTAATCGGAAAGATTAGGGTTTGAAGATGTTATTTAAAGAGTATAATCTAGTGAAATCAAATTGGAAAGAGAGAAAAAGAGACAAGGAGGATTCAGATTATAATTTGGGAGAACACAAGAAGTGGATGCACCTGCGCCATTGCAAACGATTTTGAGCCATGTCATTCAGGGTCTTTAACCATCGGTTGCTATCATCTGGCGGTCCCCAACCAGATCATCTACACCTACCAACATGGATCAGTCCATTTGTCAGTGACTTCATGGACTTGTGCCATGTTTTGGTCTGGCCACCCCTAGCTTTCTTCCAACCTACTCCTATATCACTGAGATCCAGTGTTGCTCCCTAACCTTACGGTTTACCGTACTAGCAGATATCACTGCTGTTTCCACAGCTTTTCGGATATCATTCCATGCTGCATCGGGGTGGGCATCACATACATGGCTGCCTAACTGTTTTCCTAGTTGTTCCTGAAATATACTCTTAGTTTGACTATCATTAAGTAGGGCCCCAAGAGGTTTGCTTGCAGCGTCTTTCTTACGTCCAGTAAGACGCAGGCAAATACGCGCTCGCACTAGAGCATGATCTGAATCTAAGCATGTGCTCCAGAATGAGCGACAGTCTTCTATCGAGCCCCTCCATCTGTGGCTGATAGCGATGTGATCTATTAGGGTCCAACGTTGGGACGAATTAGGGGGTCACCATGTTAAAAGATGTCTTTCCTTATGCTTAAAGTTAGTATTTGCAAGAAAGAGGCGGTTATCTGAGTATAGCTGCAACAGACGGTCGCCATTATCTGATCTTTCAGCCACGACACCATAAGATCCACCTAGATGTCTTTCCCTTTCGCTTGGTTTACCTACTTGAGCATTAAAGTCACCGGCCATTATTACTACATCCGAGCGCCTAGCTTTTCGGAGAAGGTCGGAGAGCTTTCTGTAAAACTCATCTTTTACATCATCTGAGCTGCAGTCGGTTGGAGAATAGGCAGAGACGACGAAGTGTCCCTATCTTTCCGAGTCCTTACTGTTCCGTTTAGTCGAACAGCGCACAAACGACTGTCTACTGGGATCCAGTCTAAGAGAGCTAGTTCTGCCCTAGAACTCAGTGCTATACCTACGCCGGCGAGTCCACGAGAAGCAGCATCTGGGCTTCCAGATACACGAAGTGTGAATCGAGTCGGTTCTTTATTTTGGCATGGTGAGGTCAAATGAATAAGGCTACTCGGATCCTGTATGCGCGTTTCGGAGACGCAGCACACATCGATGGCGCGAGATTCTGAAGTCCTAGCCAAGGAAGCCTGTTGTCCTATTTGGCACAGTGTTCGGACGTTAAAAGCTCCTACGTTTAGTTTAGAGCGTGGTTTCAGGAGACCAGGAATAGTGTTCCGCGTACTCGAATCGTTTGCCCTAACGGTGCGAGATGATAAAGAGACGTGAGAAGGGTTAGTCATGGAGATAAGAGAGTTATTAGGAGGTGTAGGAAGGATTTGAATGTGACCAACTTGGTCTCGTGTGCTGTTACGGGTATGAGGGCTGATATCACTTCCTGGCTGCCCACACCGTGGAAGGGTATTTCTTGAGGAACTTGAAAAAGAAATTGGATTAGTGTTAGTCTTAACGATCTGGGGGCGTGACCACAGAGCCCAGGGGACAACTGCTTGAGGCCGGTCGCGCACGGCCTTTTCGTGGAAGGTTTTTAATGTGTTAGCTCCGTTCTTCAAAGGGCCTTACTGCCGGAGACGGAAATCTGTGAGGTAAGGTGAGGTGTGACATTTTTAGGGTCGACCTTTTCTAACCCCACCCCTCCTTGTGAGATGGCAGCATCACTGCAGATGCTGGTTGTCCGAGGGAAACACCTTACTGCTGTCACACCCCTCTACAGTCAGCAGTATGACTTCGCCCTCAGACCTTCAGTTGCTGCTTTTAGTCTTATTGTTCTCCAATTGACCTGCCTGGCATGGTAGAACCTACAGGAACAGCCAATATAACTCGGTTGGGTCATCACGATAGGCAAGCCCGACCACCGCGTCAAGGTAGCAGCTACGGTCTTTTTAAACTCTAAACAAATCTCAAAAGGAGTTTGTTGACCTGTGTACAGTAGAATAAATAAACGTTCGAGTAATGTATTGAACATAAAACATTCTAATGTTAAGACAACAAGAATTTTTACTAGAAGATACAAATACTTCAAAAGTGATTCTGAACAATAGACTTAAGAGATTTGGAAGTGTACCATATGAACTCCTAAAAATCAGTAGAGTACCACTTGAATAAATTTAAAATATAGATGAATATCATTACATTAATACATACAATTCAGCAAAAAGACAACGAGATATTGTAGGCACCACTAAGTAAGTGATTTGCGTATTGTTGAATGATTCGATCAATAGTGAAATTGATAATAAGTGGGTCGCAAAAAAAAAATGATACATTTAAACTTGAATAAAATTTGATAAAATCACTACAAACTATTCATAATGCACAGTGTAATTGGGCCATTCTATATATCGACATAAGTTGAAAGTCAAGAGAGTGGATAAATTCAAATCAGAATTTATGCACGCGATTTTCCCTACATCTTCTTAGAAAAAATTCTGTTATCATACACACAATAAACAATGTAAACATTTTTCAAGAACGGAATTACATGTGAACAACAATACATGACAATGATAACAGTGATTATTGTTATATTCACTGTTGATACATATGATTGTGTAATGCTATCACAAGTGCAGAGAACAAATAATTCTTGAAATTTCACATTTTAAATGATTGACAGTGAATTAAAATAAGATCACGTAAAGGTACGCGAAAATCATTAAAAAAAAAACTCGAGTCGATTTTTATTAATTTATCATAACGGTACACATGTGTAGAGCGTAGCATGATGATTTTATTGATATGTATTTATAATCAGAAAGATAGATATATCATCCTTTTGCAATGTAGTATTATTATTTGAAAAGAGTAGTAGTGTACAGACCAACTTATCTGAAGAACATATTGAACTATACTGATAAAAGGCTATTAATGTCAGTCAGTCAGTCAGCTACAACGTAGGACCAGGCACATGTATGCATCGGCCCAGGTTGCCATACCTCATTAGCACAGCAAGATGAACACTGGATTCATAGGAGTGGTTAGGTCAAAGGTGGTAATATATAGGAGAAAGATTGCAATAAGGATATAGTATAGGAAGAAAGAATTAGTTCGTAGAAAGAAAGATGTGAAGTGATCTTAATCTCTTAGTTTAAGAGAAGACAGAGAGTGTATACACCGACGCCATTGTGATCGATTCTGAGCCATGTCACCAAGGGTCTCCAACCATTGGTTACGAAAGTCACGCGGACCCCAACCAAGTAGTCTGCATCTACCAACATGGCTCAGACTAGAAGTTAGTGACTTCAGGCACTGATGCCACGTTTTGGTTTGGCCGCCCCTAACTTTCTTCCAACCATCCCCTACACCGGTTAGCATTGCACGTCGCGGTAATCGGTGTTCAGGCATACGTAATACGTGGCCCAACCATCTCAGTCGATGAAGATTCATAACCTCATCAACTGATTTACCATCATTCCCTAATACCCTGCGTCTAACCTCACTATTACTTACCCGGTGATCCCAGCAGATGCCAGCAATATTTCTAAGGCATCTGTGGTCAAATACTAGTAGCTTACGGGTGTCTTCTACTCTTAAGGGCCATGTTTCGCTGCCGTAAATTAAAACAGAACGGACTGCCGCGCAGTATACTCGTCCTTTTATTGATAGACGGATATCTCGCCTCCGCCAAAGGTGACGTAAGTTGGCAAAAGCCAAACGAGCTTTACGAATCCGTGCTGAGATTTCGTCAGACACCAACCCATTAGGGCTGATCAGACTTCCAAGATAAGTGAAGTTGTCAACGCGTTCGACTACTTCACTCCCTATCCTTAGTTCAGGTGTTGACGCAGACCAGTCCTGAAGCAACAACTTGCATTTAGAGGGAGAGAAGCGCATCCCAAACATTCTGGCATTGTTGCTTAGTGCTACCAGAAGACTCTGCATTTTGTCAGCGTCTTCACCAAACAGGACTATGTCATCTGCATATTCTAAGTCGATAAGTGGACCTCCTGGAAGGAGATCAATACCCGAGAATTCAGTCGACGAGAGTGTTATTTCCATCAATAGGTCTATGATGAAGTTAAACAAAAATGGAGAAAGTGGGCAGCCTTGACGGACACCACTTGAGGTTGTAAAGGTAGATGACAGTTCGCCATAAGCCCTGACTCGACTAGTAGTGTTCGAGTAAAGAGCCTTCACAAGGTTTATGTACTTCTGAGGTACGCCTTTCAATGACAGACACTGCCACAGAGTCTCGCGGTCTACAGAGTCAAATGCTGCTTTTAAGTCAAGAAAGACCACCATCGTCGGACGCCGATAGGTATGCCTGTGTTCTAGAACCTGACGAATGGTGAATATGTGGTCGATGCAGCCACGACCAGGTCTAAAGCCAGCTTGGTTCTCTCGTGTTTGTAGTTCACGAGTCTTAGTTAGGCGTTTGATAATTATCGAGGCCAGTATTTTAGATACTATGTTTGTTAAACTAATCCCTCTGTGGTTGTCACAGGATGATTTTGACCCTTTCTTATATATTGGGACGATAAGTGATTGCGACCAGTCAGATGGGATAACGTCTAACTCCCAGATTTTAGCCAAAATATTAGTCAACCTAGTCGCTAAAATTGGACCACCATCCTTAAAGACTTCTGGAGCCAGTCCATCTGGACCAGCTGCCCTTCCTCGTTTCAGATTAACTATAGCCTTCTCAACTTCAGCAAGAGTTGGGGGACCTACTTCAATGTTCCATTCACTTTGTCTGGGAATGGAGGGTAGTTGTAGAGTAGCTGAAGGCCAGCTGAACTGTTCTCTAAAATGTTCCGCCCATCGTTCTAAACGTCTGGACTGGGAGCAGATGAGAGTATCATCTTTTTCCGAAATAATCTCACTTACACTTGACTTATTAGTTCCAGTTTCTTTTATTAGTCTGTAAAGCTGTCTTGTGTTCCCTATAGTCGCCGCCTTTTCCATCTCTTTTGCTTTCGTTACCCACCACTGCTCACGGTCGTTCCTTAGACTTTTTCTTAACCTAGATCTGATTTGTTTACGCTCTTCATCATGTTCAGAACCTGATGGGACGAGTTTGCGAGAATCCATCAGTGTGACAGACCTTGAAGAAATCCACTGGTTCCTTGTAACTCTGTGGTTTAAGTCACTAACAGATGTCACTGCTGTTTCCACAGCTGCTTGTATGTCCTTCCAAGCAACATCTGGGTCAGCCTCGTCTTCACAACTAACTAAGTGTGACCTCAGTTGTTCCTGGAACCTACTTTTGGTTTTCTCGTTACTCAACTCAGTTCTAATGGGTCTTTTTAATGTGGCTTTTTTGCGTCCATTGAGGCGCAAGCAGATGCGTGCCCGTATTAGGGCATGGTCGGAGTCCAAGCAGGTGCTCCAGAATGAACGACAATCTTCTACCGACCCTCTCCAACGATGACTGATGGCAATATGGTCTATTTGAGTCCATCGTTGGTTTGGTGTAGGGGGTCGCCATGTTAGACGATGTCTCTCCTTATGCTTAAAATTTGTGTTTGCTAAAAATAAACGATTGTCTGAGCATAGCTGCAGCAGACGATCACCATTATCTGTTCGCTGTGTCGGAATACTAAAATATCCACCTAAATGCCTTTCTGTTTGGTTTAAACTGCCTATCTGAGCATTAAAATCACCTGCTACGAGTACTATGTCTGAGCGTTTAGCTTTCTGAAGAAGTTCGGATAGCTTTCTGTAAAATTCATCTTTCACTTCATCTGAGCTGCAGTCAGTGGGAGCGTAGGCAGAAACGACAAAAAGGCAACGACGTGTGTCCCTATCCTTCCGAGTTCTTACGTAGCCGTTCAGCCGAACAGCACATAGACGACTGTTGACGGGGATCCACTCTAGCAGTGCTTGTTCGGCCCTTATGCTTAGTGCTATGCCTACACCTGCCAGTCCACGAGAACTTGCCATCGGGTCACCGGACACACGAAGGGTGTATCTCGTTGGCTCTCCGTCTTGCCGAGGTGAGGTCAAGTGAATGACCACACTGGAATCCTGTATGCGTGTTTCGGAGACACAGCATACATCAATGGAAAGAGACTCTAGGGTTTTAGCCAAGGAAGCCTGCTGACCGATTTGACATAGGGTGCGTACGTTGAAGGCTCCAATGTGTAGTTTGGAGCGAGGTTTCAGTAGACCTGGGACAGTGTTTTGCGCACTAGAATCGTTGGCTACGGTGACACTTGAGGTGGAAGCCGAGAGAGGAAATACAGAGTTGAAAGTCGATGTAGGAGGAATAATAGGAATTGAAGAAGGAGGTTGATTATGAATACAGTGGACTTGAGTGCTGTTAGAAGTATGAGGGCGGTTATCACTTCCCGGTTGCCCACACCGTGGAAGGGTTGTTCTGGAGGTACCTGAAAAGGAAATTGGATTAAAGGTGGTCTTAGTGAACTGAGAGCGTGACCGCAGTGCCCAAGGGACAACTGCTTGAGGTCGGTCACACACGACCTTGTTATGGGTAATTTTTGTGTTAGCTCCGTACTTATTGAGACCTTACCGCCGGAGACGGATATCCGTGGGATAAGGCGAGGTGTGCATTTTTAGGGTCGACCTTTTCTAACCCCACCCCTCCTTGTGGGAAGGCAGCATCGCTGTCATGCTGGTTGTCTGAAGGAAACACCTTACTGCTGTCACACCTCTGTACAGTCAGCAGTACGACTTCGCCTTCGGACCTTGGGTTTGTTGCTTTTAGTCTTACCGCTCTTCAACCGACCTGTCTGACATGGTAGGACCTTGAGGAACGGTTGTTCCAGCCAGTATAGCTCGGTTGCTTCATCACGATAGGCAAGCCCGACCACCACGTCAAGGTAGCAACAACGGTCGGGAAGGCTATTAATGCTTCATAAGAAAATACTTCATCTCTTTTTTTATTTCTAGCTATTTATAAGTGGTGTGAAGTTAGCAAGTAACGAAAGAATTAAATTTATGACGCATACTGTTAGCTATTCGTTTCAAGCTTACTTGATGATTTTGTTTATTTAAAATATTATATGAATCTTGCTGAACCTTATCGATTGGATGACTGCTTAAATAAATCACTTTACAGGATAATAAGGTATCATAAATACTAAACGTTGAAATATTCATTATATAACGATGTTAATCAGTGTAAACAGTATTTTCGTGTTATCTAACCAAGTGTTGGCATTATAAAACCTGAGAAATTTACTTCGCTATATTTTTCTTAAAGCAATATAATACACTGAAATAAAAAGTGGCTTGTAAGTTACAGCTTATAGCCCAATCGCCATAATTCAACGAAGGCTTATCATTTGTGTACCAATTAATTAGGTCGAAAGGAATGATTAAAAGTAGCAGAACTGTCCAGAAAACAAAAAATATCATAAGTACAGCTATTTTTTGTACCATGATTAATTAACCCAGGTTACCTAGCTAAAAGAAGACATCAAATCAGGCCACAGATCACTTATCATCGTCCACTTTAAATATCGAAAACTTACAATGTAAGTCAGTATGTATTTGTTGAGTGTAATACTGAGTGCGATGAGCCCGGCGGGAATTCGGTTGGATAACATGTGCACGTGAAGGATGATTTCGCGACAAGGAAGAAGATACTGACAAATTTGTAATAGGTGTAGACGAAGGACTAGGACAAGGTTGTGAAGAATAGGGACAACTAATTTGTAAGTATCCTGCAGCTTGGTCGAATGATGATGTTATTGCATTCAAAGATATATGATTCGGGAAACTGACGAAAAAAGCACCAGGAATTCCTGGGGAACATAATGTCGATGCTGAACGTGGAGGAGGTGTAGGAGGTCTCAAATAATCTTCTTCCTCATTTAAACTTTCATCTAAAGTAGGAAAGTGATAACTGTAATCAGTTGTGGTATTGAGAAGGCAAGGAGAAGTAGTAGTCTTATTAATCTTAACTATATTAGAATCATTTTTCATATCTGATGAGAACACATTCCAATTTTCCGAATCAAACATCATACTATTTGGCATATCTATACTTTCATCAGAATTAGCAGTTGTCAAAGCAGTAGCTGACGATGCACTTGAAAATGAGGTGGGAGATAATGGTGAAGAAGAAGGATGAGGGGATGCGGATAGAGGACTATCAACAGGAAGATAATTCCCAGAAGATACTTTAATATTATATTTATTTGGACAGTATGAAGGTGTGATTGCATTGACTGAACAAGAAACTTTAAGAGGAGCATTTAAAACTTGAGATGGAGAAGTTACCATACATTTAGGTGTGTTATCCGAATTGGAAATATCTTGGGGTATCAGATCATTTGATATATGCTCAATCAATTTTTGTTTAATGAAGGAAGAGGAGTCTTTTGAGTTTGATTCATGAATAATAGGAATTTTTGAGTCGGTCATTGAAGCTCTTGCAGAGGTGGTATCACTAAACTGACTAAAAGCGACAGAAGTAGGAAACAGAGAGATCGGTGACCCTTCCGATGGGATAGTACAAGGTCGAGGTAGGGTGCAAGTCCCATTACCGGAGGGACGTGATACAGTCGGATTAGTACGAGGAAATGCACGCTGGCGAGGTACCGGTTGTGATATACCATATGAGATTGTGGGAGGCATAGAGGATTGTTTAACAACGTCACACATACTAGAGTTGAAAAATTGAAATGACTTGTCACTACTAAGGTTGGTGTTTTGTTGTATATCAGTAATAGATTCATCAGGATTATTTACACCAGACTCTTTCTGAATACTGGTAGCAGATTCAGACGATACAGTAGTTATAATATTGTCAGTAAATTTACAAGGTACATTTTGATCATATTGTATTGGATAATTGGAGGTATTGCATGATGAAGTTTGGTATGTATTACCAGGAATCAAGTTAACGGAATTACTATGATTTGGATTAACTGAATGAGAAACTGATCTAAATTGTAAATTTGGAAATTGATCTTCAGATGGAGCAGGGAATTCTATTAATCCTTGAAGTTGTGATGATTGAATATTATGTCTTCGGATAGGACGATCAGATAAACAACCAGGTTTCTTAGTGTTACTATTGTCAATGATGAATTCATTAGTATTATTATTAGCTGTTGTTGTAGCAATAACAGTATTATTATTAATAACAGTAGATTTCATTTCATTAGTTGTAGTAGCAACAGCATCTCGTAACCAATCACGAACACGTTGATTATCATGATTTGTATTCGATATGTTAGGGATGTCAGTTACTACTGATGTTCTAGATAATAGTGATAAAGGTGAGTGAATACTATTCATACTTTCATTTATTGCAACTGAATGGTCATGATTACTGTTTGTTGACATAGGCATGGGATGATGGCTTAATCTATTATTGTTAATATTATTATCTTGTTGTACAATCATATTATTGAGTGAATAATCTGGTATTTCAGTAGTAATGAATGAATTTGTACATTTCCTTTGGTTTAAGGATGTTGACAAGCGTTCTTCTTGATAGTCAGTATTTATATTATTATTATTATTTGAACGTCGAAGTACTCCCATATCCTAGAGTAGAAAAAGAAATAAATAATTAAATGGCATACATATATACATTTCTTGTGAAATATTAGGAAAATATAAGTAGATGACAAATATTAAAATAACGCAACCGCCGAGTAAAATTTTAAACTAAACTTATGGATGAAGGCTAGTGGCACTATGCGGTTGCTCAAACTGATGTAAGTGTAGCAGGATTCAAATGTTCGACACAGTATTGAAAACACAGATATCGTTTTACCATATGGACAGCTTCTGAAGTATTCAACTGTCTAAGCATAGTTATGCATGTCTGAACAATTTATTCTCTAGACATAGAATATGATAAGTTGTCTCAATCCTAACACTAATTTCTGTATTGTCTGTCATGGATGGATTGATAATCGACTTTCTCATATGTAGAATATATGTCAACATATCTATAAGCTGATGAGTATAATTAAACCTCGTCGCCTTAAAATTTCTTTATATTTCATTTTGTATATCATCTAATCAAAATTTTATTATATAATCCAAACGGAAATTCACAGCTGGTGCGAAAGCATATATATTACAGTACCTAACTAACAAGTGACGTTTACTTAGATGAAAGTGCAGTGAACATTTTTGGTGGGTACTTTAATCCTTTAAAAGTCTAGCATGATCTCCAGATGATTGTTGTAAAAAGCAGTGAACTATTAGCAACAAACAAACAAAGGCATTAGGAAATAACAGTGGGAACAGACATCATCCTTCATTAGATTACAGTTAACGAGAACTAGCAAAAAATTACAGGTATAAGCAGTAAACGGTTAGTTCAGAATAGCATGAAAGAAGCTAACCGGAAACTCAAAACGATGAATTAATGTGTGAAAAGGATTTTCATTTTTGATAGGTTGTCGATGCTATGATTATATATTATAGCAAGGGAGTTATAGACAGTACTTTAAAGTTAAATGTCTGCTGAAATCAGGGCTTTGATATTAGAACGCTTTTAATCACTGTTTAATTTTGATCTACGCTGACTACGCAACTCATGACTAGAAATTTTAGCTTCTAGATAATTCTTATCCTTACAATTATATCAGGCTACTTCAATCTTATTATATATTCATTTAGTCGGTAGAGCTCATTGGAAAACGTTTTTTTCCAACTCTTCGTTTAAGAACTTTGGATTAGCCAACATTTTATTACTGTCACTTCAGTAAGTGTATACAATATCAAATATGCAAACAACTGATAATAATTAGCATACTAGCATGAATTGATTTTTAATTCAATCGCTGTTCTTTCTATGCATTCAAATCTATGAGAATTGAAAATGAAACTCGCAAGTTTATTCCTAAATAACGCAGATAGTCAGCGAGTTAGTAGCAGTTTATTTATATGGTAAGCGTACCGATAACCTAGTGGCTAAAGTACTAAACTTTCAACCAGTAGTGTACATCTCCAAAATCTACTCCACCTACTTGAGTGTGAGCACCTAAGTAGCAGGATCTATATAAACGAATATACAAACCGATACAATTATTAATCAAATACTTAAATCTTTGAACACAAACATCCAGAATACTTAAAAATTATAGATAATGATGAGGGTTAAGAAGTGGAGTAAGAAATATACGTACAAGTGGAAGCACTATACGGATATTTAGTACGTTCTTCAATAACATAGACAAATAGATAACAAAAGAACACGTATGACATATTTATTGTTCATTTGTATAATTAGTCAATTTACACTGGAATATATCCAGAGTGTCGCTAAAAAAACCTAGTGTACAAACTTTTAAATGGGTAATATTATATTGTTATTAATTATTACTGTTCAGTGCATCTACAGAAACTACTACTATTATTGGTAGAAGTGTAACTAACAAATGACTGTAGCGTAAGGTAAGACGTAAGTGAATGATATTCATTTTCTTGACAATAAGAAATCTGTTTTCAAGCTTCTAAAAAATCGAAGTTAAGAGCCTCTTAACTTGAAACTGATTTCAAAATGTCTAGTTTAATTTCATAATGAAAAAATTATTATTCTCCCGGAATAGAAACACAAAATTAGAATAAGTTCCAATGGAAAAGTTCTTCACTGGACGTATAAATAATTTAAATAGCACAAATAAAATGTCTGTCATGGTTTCAAGTACACAATACGAAATGTACACATACTTAATTTTTATTATATAAAAATACAAATGATTGATTCATGAACAAGTAATGGACAAAGCAAACCTTATATGTGACACATACATGGTTTCAAGAAGTATGATACAATATTTCACAAAGCAAGAGGAAAATATGCACATCAAGATATTGAAACGTATATAAAGCATTTTAAGTTGCTCCCGATTTGTATGTTATTCGTGTGCACATGCTAAAGAATGTGTTTTTAGTAACTATGTGCCCAGAAAATTCGAAATTTCACATTCGTATACATTTAGGAAGGATTATGTAATAAGTCTAATAATAATAATTTATTTGTTTGCATGTATGTGTTTAAAACTAGGAAATTTTCAACTTACTAATGTCTGATTGAAGTCTTCATTTGCTCGTTTTCCTAACTGTGTAAACAATAAAATGAATAATGAAGGAAACATGATTTATGACTTGTATAAAGTTACACAGGGAATTCCCGTTTACCTATATCATTCAATGGTTACTTGTTTATAATCAGAAAGGGGTATTGTGAATATTATAGTAATTTAATAGTTGAATTCATGAGTCAATTGAAGCTAAACCATTATGGAAAACCTTGAAGCACTGAACGACCGTTTCGTCCTATTGTGGGACTCCTCAGCAGTGCGCATCCACGATCCCGCCTCGCGAGATTCGGATCCAGGAACTATCGGTCTCGCGCGCGAACGTTTAACCTTTAGACCACTGAGCCGGCATCCAATGGTGTTAATGTCTAATTTCAACCAACCCACGAAATTGCGCCACCGTCCACCATTGCCTTCAGTGAGTTACTAATTCACAACCGACCGAGTTGAACTCTACTGGTCACGGCTTCTGATAATGAAACGTTTTAAATGTAATGACTAACTTTGGGCCAGTGTTGATTATGTACTTTTCAACCTAAAATGTCGTAATGGATGAGAGCATCTATTATCTAGTTTAATTACAATGTTTGTTCATTGTTCTTGAGTGCTGTTAGAGGTATGAGGGCGGTTATCACTTTCCGGTTGCACACACCGTGGAAGGGTTCTTCTAGAGGTACCTGAAAAGGAAATCGAATTAGAGGTGGTCTTAGTGACCTGAGAGCGTGATCGCAGTGCCCAAGGGACAACTGCCTGAGGTCGGTCACACACTACCTTTTTATGGGTAATTTTCGTGTTAGCTCCGTATTTATTGAGACCTTACCGCCGGAGACGGAAATCCGTGGGATAAGGCGAGGTGTGCATTTTTAGGGTTGACCTTTTCTAACCCCACCCCTCCTTGTGGGAAGGCAGCATCGCTATCATGCTAGTTGTCTGAAGGAAACACCTTACTGCTGTCACACCTCTGTACAGTCAGCAGTACGACTTCGCCTTCGGACCTTGGGTTTGTTGCTTTTAGTCTTGCCGCTCTTCAACCGACCTGTCTGACATGGTAGGACCTTGAGGAACGGTTGTTCCAGCCAGTATAGCTCGGTCGCTTCATCACGATAGGCAAGCCCGATCGGGACGATGTTTGTTAATAATAACCTAATCTTACAAAGCATCTCACTTTCTTAATTCCCAAATTTAACATTATACGAGTTTTAATTATTATCGAAAATCTTATTCACATTTAAAATGAATCAATTTTCTTAGTATTCGATGAATATCTTAATATATCATGAGAAACAGAAGTTCTTGTAAAATCAAGTCGAATTCAAGTAGTGCGTGGTTGGATTCACGAAGTAAGTGCCAACTTAGAATCTTGGAGAGAAAAGAGGAATACCAAGGAACACAATGCGTTGGGAATCGCAAACAGACATCAAAAGAATGAATAGCAACTGGAAAGGATTGCCCAAGACAGAGTTCGATGGAGAATCCTGATGGGCGACCTAGGCCCCTTCACGAGGGCAACAGACGTAAGTAGATATGGTTGAATTATTCATTTACAATATATAAGTTGAATTTAATTCAATCATCATTTTAAATGATACAAAACTCAGGAGATACAACAACTAAACATTCTTGATTTATAACATTCATATTTAAGCTTTATACAGTGAATATAACAGCTGTTGGATGGTATTTCTTTTCACACAATAGTTTATTATTTATAAAGAATGAAATGACACAAGAATAATTTCGGAGTATATTATACAAACGACTGTTTAAGTAAATAATATTATACTTTTGTAGTAAATTTATGTCGTCCACACTCAATAGTGTAGGATATATATAATGAATATTATATCATATGGAGTTGGGTTAGTATACAATAACTGGAATACAAGAAAACATTACCAATAACAATAACAGCTGTGGTATAATGGACGGCACAAAATAAAATAAAATCCAAGATAATTAATAAAAATGAATTGTTAGTAATGTTGGCTAGGATTATCATTATTGTTTTTTGTTTATATAGTAATCATAGTAAGTTCAGTAGTATAAGCAAGTAAAAACTAAGGAAATCTTTGGATGAAATAGAAAGTAATTGATGCTACGGTGATGCAATTCAATTAATAAAGACTATCATTGAAACTACTTGTCTTCAAATTATGAAAAACGCCTTAACATCTGAGCCACCTCTCTTATTTTGGAAAGAAAACACCAGATTTAAGTTCACATAAAGTAGTTGTAATACATATTTCTACTGGATTAATAAAGTTAATGTTTTACTCTTAAGCAGTCATATTTTAATAAATCCACAAGATTAATAATTCTCTTAGATAAGTTTGACCTCAATTTGGTACAACACCGCCTAATATATATAGTGCTAGCGAACTCAAATGGGAACACGTGGAGACATAGATAATTGGCGACTTATTTAAAGTCCTATGCAAACATTTAAAAGTAATAGTTATCAAGTAAACAGATTATTTGATATTAGTTTTTCGTATTAAAACGGAACGGAATGATTGAAAACAATGTTTCTCGGGCTAAAGTCACTCCGTAAAGAACTTATGAACTTCGAGTTTTTATTCTGTCCGAATTAATCGAATGTTTGATTGTTTGTTGGGTGAACTACGTTTGATAGACAAAAAACACGACATGACATGCACGAGTAAGCATCACTGGTGTATTGACGACAAGAAAAATAAGAAAGACTTGCAATCTAAGTATTTGAAATTCAAAACGCAAAGATGTTTTGTGTGGATACATGTAAACAGTTTACGTCGCTGATGATAAACTACCCATCTCTTAAGTAAGATATTTAGCAATGAAAGAGGAGTGTATATGTCGATGTTGAGTATGGCGTACCATACAAATAAAATAGTTGCTTAAGAAAATATTTTAAGTAGGTTGGCGACTTATAACGAATTAATAGATCAAAACACAACTAAATCCCAAAACTATACTTATAGAAGTATAAAGTTTCTAGTACACATCGACAGAAAATGCGCTGAAATTAAATGGTTAGAAACCTTAGGCAACGTGATGAACACCAGGTATGTCGGACACTAGATTTAAAATATTTCATTCTCGATAACAAATCTTTTCCTATTCATTCGTTTGCTTTTTTCGATTTACTTTACTAAGTTACTTCCTGCAATTTCCTCTTCCAATGTTACTAGGAAGGATAGTAACTTGACTCGTATGCAACACTCTATGTTTTGTTGACTTTTTTTATTAAACGAATAATTGTATATAATAATAATAACAATAATAATAATAATAATAATAATAATAATAATAATAATAACTGTATATAACATACATAATAAGTAACTATTGAATGAGGAGTATGACATTTAATTGGACAAATGACCATTTCAGATAAACTATCAAAGTTACAGTCAACAAAACGTTGTGAACATTCGTAATATTCAATATGATGATTTCGGAAGTTTATTTGATATGAAAGTAGATAGTTTTAAAAGAATAATGTTAGCTAATCATTAGAATTATTGTCGAATTTTTTATGGAGATCATAAAATTTAAATGTATCTTATAGCATAAAAATGATCACCTTAAATGAAAAAAATCTAACTGATAAAAAATTGTTATATAAACACTAGATTTTCTGTAGTTTAGCACAGGTTTTAAAATATCCAGATACAATTTTTGCTAAAAACGAATAGACACTAATAGTTGTACAGTAAATTATCTTAAGCGGTTATAAAATTAGAATGTTAACGTACTCCAATTAGTTAATAATCAGTGATCTTAGTTTTGTTTTCAGATTACCATGTTTATCAAGAGGTACTTAAAAGTATGGTGAAGCGACAATATGTAATACAATACGATCTAATGTTAAAGGAATAAAATGATTTAGATAGCTCAGGTTTCCATAATCTTTTAAAATTCATTCATATAAATAGATATTTGAATATAAATCGCATAATAATTACCAAGAAGATAGCATACAATAAAATCTAGGAAACCATGTGAAAATTTCTATCTATTCGTACAAATAATTTTTTCTGAAAAACAAACAACTGAATCATTAATTTACAATCAGTGCATCAAACAGTGAAAACCTACACTTTTTTGGATCATAAATGATGATGGTTGAAGATTTTGTTGTAGTAACTAAAATGGAAGAAAAAAACAAAAAGAAGACAATGACAACGAGACGATTTGCTGTGTGAAGGAATCTTTTACTTTTAATAACATAATTAGTTATTTGCTGATAATTTTACGTTGAGATCATGAACCGATCAATGTGAGATCACCATTAAAAATCTGGAAGCATTGGACAACCTTTTCGTCCTAGTATAGGACTCCTCAACAGTGTGCATCCACGATCCCCGATGCGTACAGTGATCATTATCATGTGCTTACTAATGACTAGCTTCGAGAGGTAATTCTCAGTTCTAGTGAAAAGCCGTGGTCAGTGGAGTCCAACTGTCTTGGGTGTGAGACAGTTACACACCGAAGACAATAGAAGATGGTCACGACACATGGTGGATTGGTTGAAGTTAAACATTAGCGACGTTGGATGCCGAACCAGTGATCTCGAGTTTAAGCGTTCGCACGCGGGATCGTGGACGTGCAGTCCTAAGGAGTCCCAAACTAAGACGAAACGGCCGTCCAGTGCTTTCAGATTTTTAATTGTGGTCTTACATTGATCGTTGATGATTTCAAGTAAAACTCGACAATTGCCACAACACTATACCGGTAGTCTTCCATTTGAGTCAAAAAAATAAAATTATTTTACAGATTATATAATTTATTTTTCAGAGTTATTTGTCAATTTCTTTGTATGTATTTACATAATATACTAATTTAGTCTTGTAGTTAAGTTCTGATGTGTAACCTATATAGTTCGATAAGGTACTGTGACAGATTGAATGTTATGACTAATAATAGTAGTTTGTAATGACTTCACGGAATGAACTTTTGTACCCGTTAGTACTGCTCATCAGTAAGTGTGGATGGAATCCAGAGAAAACTATATCTTTGGAGAAAAAAGCAAAAATAAACTACTGTGGACGAAATTAACCATATTTTAGTATCGAGTATTAATCTATATGACATTATCTGTTTTTATTCCGAAGTGGTCATATTCTATTAGTATATTCATAAGTAAACTGAGTGACCAAGCATTCTGAATCCCTTTATTTAATGTTAAGTGGTTACAGGAGATCGGTACAAAACATTGGATTTACGTTTCGTGCTAATGCGATCACATTTCGAATTTGACTGGTAAAAGTTCATCAGCAATAAAGACTTAACAACACGATTTGTTTGTAAGTTGACAAATAAGCATTAGGAGTGCCTGGATTGTTTTTAAGATTTTGCATGATCTATCTTTCCATCTATTTTTACTAATAATTTTATGATAACTTTTCTAGGTGAGTATGCATCACAGAATAGTTGTTTAAATGCTTGAAACAGAAGACAAGAAGTTACCAGAATCATACTGAATGTAATTTGTCAATAACCGTTTGTTTCGCTATTTTCAAAACATTCATATTTTTGTGAGTTGAATGTTATTCAATTAATACTGAATATGCAAATGAGTAAGAAATAGATAACAGCTGAACTGGAAAGAAACAACAACAACTGAACATACGAAAAAAACTATTCAATATGTTCTAAATAAATTCAGTCTTATTAATTACCACTATTATCGCACGGAATACTAAATAATGTTACGTAAATTCATCTACGTTGCTAGCATTATTATTATGAAAGTACTCGCCTATCTTCTCTTATATATGCTGAACAGTGACTGATAACATTCCCCAAAACAGAACAATAACAGCTGACTACAAATGGATAGGCCAAAGTACAGAAGTATTGAAAATTTACTAAGATCAAGATTGCATACTCAATGCACGATCGAAACTGAATATATCCGGACTGGTACATTGTAATCAATCAGTGCTAGTAGATAAATCAATATTGATTCCCGTGAATTCTGATTCTGATTTGTGTTACGTCTATTGAAGCGCAGTAGATAAAGAGTACTAGACAATGAACATATTTCTATCTATTAAAATTATTAGTGTCATAAAGAATGTACATAGTAGGTGGGCCGATTGGCATAAAAATACATCAGATTCTAAAATCATGTTGTTATTTATAAAGTTGTGAGGTCAGTGTAGTGAGATCGACATAATACGTATTTCTTATGTTCGCTGTTTTAGACTAACAGTAACTTTCTTTTTTGTTAAGATTGAATATTGGCTAAAGACTATAATACAAAACTTGTTTCTACCTGGCTACATTGAAACAATCAGCTCAGGATGAACATATAGTAATAGTGACTGATCGATTGTTATCCTTAACATTAACAATGGGAAAACACAAACCTTTATAAGTAAAATTAATATGCCTTTGTTTTAAATTTTAGTTTGGTTACGGTATACCGGTTAGGGAGGATCTTATCATTTTCAAGTTGCAGATTCTATTTTTGATTATATATATATATATATATATATATATATATATATATATATATATATTGTTCATAGTTGTTTACAATGATGCAGAGTTAGACAAACTTGACTCTATGCAATAAGATTAACATCGGTAAAAACTCACTACAGGTTATAGGATCTTATAGTGATAGGGTATTGGGTTTTCCACTTATCCATAGTTACGACTTAAAAACACAACAAATTCAACTAAATCTAGATATCGGATGTCTAATATGGTTATAAAGGGATATAAACATTACAAGATAAATTACGTGATATCAGATGAGGCTATGGAGAAATCTAGTGAAGAAACGGAATTGGTATATATGTTTTCACATAGAATTCCGGTCACTTATATGGTGTATTGTTCACTAATTAAAATTTAACCCCGTAAACAGAAACTGGACAATTCTAATGTAATCAATAGAACAAAGATGATCGATTATTTAGTTTCTGTTTAAAAAAAAACACTGCCAATGACTTAGGATGAAAATGGTGCGTAAGGATATAAGTATATTTTTATACAGGGATACGTGTATACGAGTAAGTGGAACAGACTAAAATTTTATGTTGTTCATTGGAAAGACCAATCTACTAGAAAAAATCTGATAAACACTACATATATATGTGCACTGATGCAAAGGAAATATCAACTGATTGGTTTTTGTGTAACACTAGGTTACTTGCAATAAAAAAGTTAATTCGAATGTTGATAGCTCCCCAAAATGGTATACCAAAAGATTCAAAGGAATAAAGTTGTTGTCTTTTAAATAACAAAACGAAAAAGAAAAAAACAGGAAAATACGCTAGATAAGAGTTATCAAAATATTTGATTAGATGTATGTAAATATTTGTGAACTGCTGAAACCTTTAATTTATTGGTGGTTGGAAAGAAACCCATTAACATTCAATAGACTAGTGCAATCACAACTAAAATGTTGGCCCACCAACTAAGGCCAAAGTACAGGAGACAATTGTCGATGTCGTGATCAAATATTGCCATACTAATTAACTTCAAATCTCAACCCATCTTCGAAAAGTATAGAAGTATCAATCTTTTTACATAAGTTATTGATAAATTAATAACAGATTTTGGGCACACTTCATGTTTCAAAAAAGAAGAATATGAAAAACTTATGGATTGAAGGATTACTGATGTATTACGAACATTAACCAGAAATGTGATAGGCATCCAACGGAATGGGATTTCTTTCCACGAAAACTCACTTATGAAGCTTCACTGAAGAGAGCGCTTAGGTTGACGCCAAAAGATTTGACAGAAAAAATAATGAAATGCAAAATAACTTGTACTAGTAGGACGAAAATTATGTCTTGAACTCTAAAAAACTGTTTCCGTGTTAAAAAGTAAAGAAGTGAACTCGGTACTAAAGTATGAAACTAAACTTTTCTGTAGTTGATGATAGGTTAGTACAAAGCAACAAGTTTATAAACAATATGTCTAAGCAACGAAATCAATTAACAAAGAAACTATGCTCACCTGGATTTTTGCTAGAGGAATAATATCACCATCAACTGGTTTTTCCCAAACGGTTTCTCGGGTGGTACTATTATAATAGTAATTTCTTTGGACTTTTATATCGAACAATTCCCACCATTGATTGGGTGAAACAGCTTTACTAGAATTAGAACAAAAAGTGATGACTAACGATATGAAAGAAGGGAAGATTAATTCAACTAAGTCATACATCTTAACATGCTGCACAGCAACTTGATGATTGTTTACTTAGTAGAATGAGGCGATCGATGATACGGAACAATACATAAGAACTGAGAATTTTATTTCCTAATGGGTTAAAATGACGATACGATCTAAACTACACTTTCGAAAAAACTTGAAATGGTAAGACTATACAGAAATATATAGTAGAAATGACGCGACTTCTAAAATGTGAAACCAACATTCCAGTGTAATGGGGTTTACGAATATTCAGAGGTTTATCGCTGTTTTATGAAATTTAAGATCAAATGAGTAGTAGATGTGATATGATGGACAGGAATTAGACCTGATAGTAAAGCCTTAATTAATTAGGGAGTGAATTCAATTATAGCAAGATCCATTAGTTTATTATTTGCACCTGATACTAAACCTGGGGTCCTACCTCTTTAGAGAAACGACTTGAAGACTTATATAGCTTAGTAGTACTGTAAGGTTGTCTAATTTGTGTTGTGGCACTTCTACAAAAGGAGCAAACACCACCAAACAATTTCGATAGGTTATATAATCCAAGGGTTTTCTGTGATGATGAGATCAGGATCGATATCCAAGGCTTCAAGAACCTAATGAACAATTATGATAAAGAGAAGTGAAGAAAAAAAGAAGGTTCTCTTTGATTAACCTCACATGAGCCCCCAAATGCCCTGGTACGGCCGAGAGTGGGGAGAGTCCGCTCTCCGTCTCGAAATGCTCTCACATGGCCACGCATACATAGCCTCTGCCAGGGAAGTCCTACTCACTGCCTTCTCGTGGTGGGGGTGTTGTTTACGAAAATGAGAGGACGAAAAGCGAATGTCCGGCGCTTTAACCGGATTCCAAACCAATGGTGCACATGGGCTCCAGTATCCTGAGGGAACAAATGGCGGATGAACCAATTGTTGGTCACCGGCTTCCATGGGACTGCATCTCCTTACGATACTCCACTGCCTTGTGGATCAGACATTCAGGTCGAAGGCTCGGGGAGTGGCCTCCTAAAAAACCACCTGCTTCTGTTTGGGCACCCGGCCAGTATCACAGCCCTCACACATCGAATGAGATTTGTGTGGCGCATATGTATTTGGTGCCTCCTTGTACCAATATCTATGTGTTAAAATAAATAAATAAATAAACCCCACATGATAATGTATAACTATAAATACATAATACTGAGGCTGTTTCAACTAAACAAAGCGCACAAATCTGAGATAAGTATGTCGCTTACTGACTTATAATGTTACATACATTTTATTTTGCTACACGTTAGGACTAACGACAAGTGGTGAACGAGTCTTGAATTGTTAGAATGATTAAGTAAAATGTCAGTCGATAGATGAGAGAAAAGATAGAATGTGCCTGAATGAAACCTACTCATGAGATTGAATTTCTGACTCAAACCTTGGAATTAACTGATATAAAGTACAAGATCGTTAGCTGAAACGATAATTTTTTATCTAGTGAAATACCTTGCATACAGACAAATTAAAACGTAAATAAGCTTGGTTAAATGTCATAGGCGATTGGAGGCAATTACTTCCATAGGTTGCTAACTCTACAACAAATTCAGACCCCACTCTTAGACGTAATTCCTGTCCATCATATCACATTCACTACTGGTGTTTTGAACTTTGGATATTCATAAACTCTCTTAAAATGCAGTGTTGACTGAATGTTTGAAAATTTGCATCGTCAACAATGTAGGCTTTTAAAAACGGACGGCCGATTTATTAAACCACGTCCGAGATAATAATAATAACAATAGGCATATGAAATGGATTTTATTGTTTAGACTAGTGGTTTATACGTTGGTAACAACTGTGTCTCATATCTACCGAATCTATCTGGTTCAAGTGTAAAGGACCGGTACAACTGACTGGTAAAATCAATATTTTTCCCAAAGTAGGACATCAATAATATGACTAATATCCAAGTTAGTCGTCAGATTTTTCGGGAAACGAACAAATTCGACTAATAATGGAGACAAAAATTGATCATCGAACAAAAAATCAATGAATCTTAGTACTTAACATAAAACCACACTGCATGTGTAAACACTAGTGATACAACCAGATTATCCAAAAAGAATTGGATGGAACTAGGTTTAAGTTAGCAACCTCATGGTTGAAAACTGATGGCTATAACCACCAAAACATCGTCCCAATGATCGGATTCCCTTCTGTAACTTGAAATCCTTAAAATAATTGGATATGAACTCTGTTCTTTTCGAACTCTCAACCTCATGTTTAAGGATGGCTTATTGTAACTTATTATGATCACATTAGTGGCTACGACTCACTATTGTGTATTTTTGGGAGGATCTCGGCTGCATTCGCCAGACTTCAGATTGATGTACATCAATTGCTGAGATTTTGGATCAATTAGCTGAACCCACTCGTATCTGAAAATAAATGGGAACAATACGTTATATTCAAGAATACGTATTACTGGCAGCAACAATTTCGTAAACAAACAATATAATGGGAGTGTTTACGAATGTCATGTTAGAAGACCAGAAGATTTTAGACGATAGTTTCAGGAGTGTGAGAATCGGAGGGCATGCTGGAATAACTTTATATGGATAGGAAATCGGAATTCAGTATTGTGGAACAAACCAGTGTATAACGAACATATATGTAACATATATTTTTACACGGTCTGAATAGTAGCAAGGAATAAAAAACCAACACCAGCATCCAAAGCTACCTTTACTATTAGAGTGATGCAGTACTGTAAAAGTCCAGAGCGCCAAATGATCAGTACACATTGCTGGGTGAAAAGAAAGATATTTTACGACTACATTTTTAAGAATATATGAATATATCCAAACTTCCCTCTAAATGGTTAGACAGGCTTAAACGCTACTATTTAGATATGACGATTGTTGATTAGCGATGGGAAGCGATGTGCTTCAAAAATGGAGAAAATGGCCCAGATGTAATTATGAATAAATTTCATCTACTGCAACACATCCATTTCACACAAAGATATTGATGTAACTATGGACTCCTCAGTAGGCTAGTTTAATAGGTTGAACTGTTACTTATTAGCCGTCAGACGGCCATTCCCTAGCTGAAGCAGTGAAAGGCGACAAGGGCAAGATATTAACATAATTACTAATTTCTCCCTTACAAAGAACGTACTATTTTCACTTATCGAATAACTATTGAACAGCCGTCTCATTACGTGACAAAGTGTTTTAGACAAATCACTCCTTGTGAAGCAAACTCAACATCAGCTTAGGCATTTCAATCTAAAAAAAACTGTCAAAGTCACTGAAAATATAGTAACCAAGTGAAGGGACTAAGGCGGAAATATGCTACCGACATCTGAAACCGGAATCAACATCAAGACTCTAAAGCAAACCAACGAACTACCAATGGCTCAACAAAACAAAACCATGTGATAATAACAAATACATAATGCGAATGTTATAAATCATAATATTATTTAAGGTATAAAACTACATCTTTCGTTCAGACGTAATAAGTATTACTACATGGCTTCTACATCCTGCCAGACAGTACCAGAAGAAAGTGCTATCTAACTTTGTACAATATTTCTGAATAGACACATTATTTATACTACGTTCCATGATATTAAATAGTTATCATAAATTCATTGAATAATACCAATGGGATATAAGCGAGAATAAAGACAAACTTGCCTATTAAAATCACTAATATCCATAGCGCTGATGAAGCTATATTGTCAGTACGAGAAAAGCAATCATTCAAAAAACATTCTTGAAAAAACCATATCGAGAACTACATTACACGCAGAGTTCAAAGCAAACAGCGCGCTAAATGTCTGAATAGTATAAAACTTGATTATCCTAGTAACGAGAAGTGGTTTGTAATCTTAGTCGAACAGATAATTTGATACCAACTTTTTAAAATTTTGTTTTTCTCGACTAATTTAATGCGCGCTCGATTTCGGTACAGCTGATATCTTGTCGCGTATACGTTTTCACTTTGAATTTCAGTATCTCAATGATGCCAAAGTATTCCAGCAGTAATCCACAAAGCCGTGAGTAAAATCATGACATATTAGACAATGTCAGATGAGTTTGCTTATTCAAAATGTCGACATAATATAAAACCACGAAATTCGTTCACGAAGACATGTAGTGAACTACATCCTGTATGTATAATATATGTATACCAGATAATAAACAACAATCTGTCAAATTTTTTAAACACAACTACATGTCATACACATTTTTAAGTGGTAACACGTCGATGATTTTGTTAATTTTGTTGGGTTAACCATGAATCAGATGTTACTGTATAGTACTTGCACTTTGGTCTTTCTTGTGGCCTAAAAATCCTCTCAAGTATTCTTGCGATCAATTGCTTAGACATGGAGTTTTATCCCTTAGATTTTGCATGCGTTTTCATGTCTACGATTGTTTTGACAATAGTCCAAAATTACAAAATACTCATTAGAGTACACTTGATATAATCCATTTGAACTCCTGAATAAGTTACCCTCTCCATTCAGACTATTTATATTCAGACCCTAGTGATGAGTTTGCCAATAGTCTCATAGATTGTCTTTAAATGCCAGTCTTGTTGTTGTTAGTGCCTGATATAAACTAACGAACATCCCGCCTGTTGTTTGATTCAGTCACCCTTTACATCTAAGTAATGTGTATTCAACAATCCTTGTTATCTTTGCATAATAAAAAGTTTACTCAGCAAGTGTATAGTGGTGATATGCTTTTAGTTTATGTGGTTCAGTAATTATACCAATCTTTTCTAGATTCATTTTATTATTGCACATTACATAAATATCTTCCACTGGTTTGAAGTATGCGGTAATCCCTTTTATTGAGTCATAAACAAGTTGGTGTTATGTGTACTTGGCAAACGTAGTAGGCTTAACATCAGACTCCTTTGCAGTGTAGAGTAACATTAATTGGTTGATGACCATGAAGCCTTACGGACTATTCCTGTGTCAAATATTTCTGCATTTTCGGACAGATACTGACAACAAAAACGTTATATGTGGCTGATACTAACTCATACATAAATCAAATCCTTGGCCGAATTACTGGTTAGTAATAAAATCTCTTCACAGGTACCCAAACGTATCCTTTGATTAATTACCACATTGTGTAGAAATGAACTAGAAGAAAAACTCAGAACTATAGGTGATGATTGAGCCTGCTCACAGAAACCTCATTTTCCGTTTATATACCTTTAAACTGCTGTATGTTAGGAAGTTCCAAGACATTCAATTCAAGTTATTACAAGCCTTAAAGTCAATGATATATTGTGTTTAACATCAGTCTTAGAGCGAACGTTACTTTCAAATTTATCTCTAGTCATATTTTGACATTTGGATCCCATGATACTCAGTAACTTTATGAACCTTACTACAGTCCCTGAAATTTTTGATTACTTTATAAAGGCAGATGGTATTATATTCTCAAAAGTCTAGAAAATCAACCCGTTGAAAATAAATTTCCCTGGTTTTTTGTTATTTAGGCAAAAATAGACCACTTAAACGAATCTCCCCTCGTTGGCGCAGTACTTTTCCTATTTCATTAAGTCAGCTACAAAGGAAACGTGATGAATTTTGGGATACAGCTCCAGCTGCTGAAGGCAGAGTTGAGATTTGGAATGCTCTGAAAGTAGTTGCTGATTTTTTTCAAAAACAAGATTATGATATGGCTCAAGCGATTTTAGATGGAGCATGTATCACTCTTCCATCAGGTAAAGATTTTGATGTATTCCCTAGCAACATTTGAATACTTTGTATACCTACTCAATTTAGTACATTAAGCTAAAATTTTGGGAAACCGCAGATGGTCAGATAGATAGGTAACTTCCTTTGTTATATTCTAAACTGTTGGATGCTCTTTCTGTAGAATCTCACGTACTATAATGATTGGTCAAAAAGTTTGTCCACATGTGTTAAGGCATGAACTCTGATGTAAATCACATTGTAAATGATAATATGCAATTTACATCAGAATCGTACTACATAGTAGTTAGTTTTTTATGTTCATTCTCGTCATATTTTTTTAGCAATTTTCAGAATTTCGCCGAAAGTTTTTTGCACCTTCATTGGTTCATTGGTGTAAAAAGTTACCATGAATAAAAAAACAGCTCAATGTGCATTTAGGTGAACTAGACTGGATATGTTTAGTTTGTCCTAGTGAGGTGTAAGTGAAATGTAGAAACTTCTGAAAGCTGATTTTAGTAGTAGTCAGATCTGACTCTTCAAACCAATATGTTTGTAGTTCTGACTTACTGATTTAGCCATTATTTAATAACCGATTGTAACCCCGCTCCATTCACTACTCTGTCATATCCTCATGCGAAAGGCTTCGTTATTGTGGTGTTAGATATCGTCAGCAAATGTAATAATTTAACGTTTTTGTAATAAAATGTCTGGGTTGCTGAATCGAATATTTAAGGTACAGCAATGTTTTGTATATAAGCAGTCATGTTGTCTAAAATATTTGTGTGTTTGAGGCAATCAATTAAAGTTGAGCATGTAAATCTTAAAACTTCTAACTAATAATATGGTACAATGCTGCAGTTTGAAGCTAATTAAGATGATAGTTATGCACTGCCTTCATCTTCAGAAATCCATAAGATACCGAAAAAACGTAGTAGGCGAAAGGTGAGGTATAAAAGTGTGTGATATTAATAATGTATTCAGTCTGGTTTTATTCAAGTTGACTTCGGTAATCAAACTCGTTCACTTCTTCATTTGTATTGCTTCCCTTGGCATACTTATTTACTTCATTCCTTTGATCATTAGTTATAATAGGTATGTGTTTATATCCAGTAATTATTATATTATCGCATACCACTTTATTTTACTGTATAATACGTATAGCTCATATATAAATAACTAAAACTATGATTATATTATATACATTAGATGCGTTTATTTATTTTTAACGTTAGGAACATTGTATGACTGCTATGATGAACTTGGTGCTCATTATCAGCTTCCATTATATGTCCTAAGTCAGCCAAGTAATCTCATTCCAGATCCATCTACTCCTGATTCACAAAGCTTACACTCTCAACCAAATATATCTGCTTTGCTCAGAAATTCAAATACCTACACTTCAGGCTTTAATAACACAAGAGCTCGTTCTCATCAACAATGTGCCGATAGTAATAATGACCCATCAAGTAACGATGTGTGTGGGTGTTTGTCATTGTTCAATGCATTTTGTCATAGAAATCGCAGGAACAGAGATGGATCACCTCATTGGTTACAATGGAACTTTAATTCGTGCAGACGTGGTCATGATCAATCAGCATGTGACAAAATTGATCCTACACACAATAATTCATCATCTCCACCATCATCTTGTCTTAATTTAAGATTATCTACTGGTGAACAGTATACATTAGAAATCGGTGATCAAAATATCACAGTTTTGGAAGCCAAACGTTTATTTACTTCACTGTGCGGTTGGCATGAGCTTAGACAGCGTTGGTTTGTGTGTGGTCGTTCTCTCTCCAATCGACTTTCGATTAAAGACTGTCATATACCATCGGGTTTTGTTATCCAAGTTATTGTACACTCACCATTCGATCCTGAATGTTTATGGAAACAAGGGAGTAGATCTGCAACTAGTTCTGTAGTGGAAGCCATTATCTCTTAGTAGTAGTAGTAGTTAGTCATTCACTTTTCACTACAAAATATTGACAATCTGCATTTCTATTCATTTCATAAATTCGTTCTTAGATTAGTATTTTACGATCATAACATTGTATATATTAACTCTCATCAATCATTACTTCACTCACTATTAGACAAATCAAATAATCCTACACAAAGTGACTTTGTTGCTCTGTAATGTAATCGTGTCACTGTCTCATTAGCTTTTATGTGGTTCATAATTTCATTTTTGTTTTTTTCTTTACACTTGTACATCATGATATAACTTTAATGTTACTTTTTATATTATTATGTTATACTCTTGTATAACTAGTTACTCTATCTGTTATAGGTTACCTCATTTAAATGGAATATTGATTTGATGAATAATGTTTATTTATTTATTTCTAAAACCAATGGATTTTTTGTTTTCCTATTCTTAAGATTTAAACATTGGAATGCTCATTGTTCAACATGTAAATCTACGGTTGTTTTACTAATTTATATATCTGACCTGAACATGTCCTCTATACGTTGTTTGTTTATGCTTGTTTATTTGCTTTATTCTTACTTTGCTGTATTCCATTTTCTTTGTGTGATAAATAACGTCTTTTTGCCTTTTTTCTATTTGTAAGTGATTATTTCACCATTTTTTTAAAGAAACGTTTCTTATCTTAATAGTTGTGTTTATTTTTGTCGTTGCTGCTTTTTGCTTCATTGTTCCTTTGTTCTAAACTTTCCTTAAGCATACATACACGTCTGTCTATAGTTTTTTTCATTTGTTTTTGCTTCTGATCATTTAGTTCGTTCGAACATGTCTTTGTTTAGGTGATTTTTTCGTAGTACTTTGCACCTTTATTATCTTGATTTCGTATTGAGTTGTTACATTTACCGTTTGTTTCATGCAATGATATCTATGTGGTAGTATATCTATCGACGTGCAGAACTTACAGTAGTTTTGTTTTATGACTGATCGAAAATGTCACATTTATTTTTTTGTTTATAATTAGTCTCTTACATTCACTTTTAGTTTGTATTTTGAAAATATTTTTACA